GCAGAATATGAGGTTTGCATTTTGGGACTTAGGTTAGCCATCAACATGAACATCCAGGAACTATTGGTGATCAGGGACATAGACTTGCTGATACATCAGGTACTTGGAGAATAGGCTACCAAGAAGACAAAGATATTGCCTTACTTACACTGTGTGCAGGAATTGATCAAGAGGTTTATAAAGATAGAATTCAAGCATGTTCTCCAAATTCAGAACGAGTTCGCAGACACATTGGCCACCTCATCTTCCATGATACAACATATAGATAAGTATTATATAGACCCCATCCCAATAAAGATCTGCAAGTGTCCTGCCTACTATGCTCATGTTGAAGAAGAATTTGATGGAAATTCATGGTTTCACGATATCATGTAGTATCTAGAAAAGAGAGAGTTCCCGGGAAATGCTACACATACTCAAAAGCGTACATTACAGAGGTTAGCTAACCATTTATTTTACAATGAAGGAAGTCTCTACAGAAGAACTCCCGATCTAGGATTTCTAAGATGCGTCGATGCCAAGGAAGCATCCAGACTACTCGAAGAGATACATGTCGGGACATGCAGACCTCACATGAATAGTTTCGTTCTAGCCAAGAAGATACTATGAGTGGGATATTTTTGGATGACTATGTAAACTGACTGCATCAAGTACGTACAGAAATGTCACAGTGTCAGGTACATGCTGACATGATACGAGTTCCACCTAATGAACTCAATGTGACGAGTTCGCCTTGGCCTTTTTCCACTTGAGACATGGATGTCATCGGCCCGATCGAGCCTGTAACCTCTAATTAGTGCAAAACACTAGTGCAAAATACTAGCGATTAAGGCTCAAACTCAACTAAAGTGCAGTAAATTAGAGTGCAACAAGCAACTAAAATACGAGATTATAGTCTACCATCAACACTCCACACTTAAACCATTGCTCGTCCTCGAGCAATCAGAATGCACTTTATATAGGCATGACCTTTTTTAAACAACTCTCCTAACTTATTATACCAGGAATATTTAAATAGACTAAGCACAATAGTGTAACATCCTTGCCTCAAGATTTGACACACAAGTACCACGCATTATTCACAACCCACTCACTTACTCTAACATAGAGGTCAATGACATTACCTTTCCTTCATGAATCATGTGCCATCACACAACAATAGAGAGTAGTTCCACACACATAAAATTCAAGAACAATTAAGAACTCAAGATGAACCATAGGCTTGCCCGTAGTGTACTACTCTACTAATTGAGCTCATTCAGTCAAGGATCAAGTAGGACTTTAATTGGTTGTAATGCAGGCTGCGGGACGGGTAGGATACATTTAGATATAAGAGTGACTACACCCCCCTAAGCACTTTAATACATACACTTTAATATTCAAAACCCCACATTTATATCAAACCATGACTACACCTTCACATCAATATACATTAACCCCATACTTCTATCAAAGAATATTTGCCCATAATACAACTATTTTTTTTCTTTTTCTTTTTCAATTCAAGTGGCTCTTACTTTTTCAAAACAATGCACCTTTCTCCTTATTTCAATAGTTCCACTAAAAACCCAAATCAAACATCCCACACTTTAACTTTTACAAGGTCATAACAATTCAAGTGCTCACGAGAGGTAAAAGGTTCAAATAGATGGTCAATTCAAACAAATGGGTAGGGCTTGTAATGTGGTTGCCAAAGAAATAGGATTACAGGTTCAGAGGGGTTAACTACGATACATGACAATTAGGTGGGTAATAACATATAACTGGCTCAACAAAGAAACGTCTATATCACTTCCAAGGCTGAATAAAACTACTATTTCGCTTTGCAAACACACGGGACAAGTTCTAGACATCAAATGCAATGCACAAAATAACATAAAAACTCCCACACACATGGAATGTAACTCACTCAAGATTGGACTCATCACGACACTCTAGTCAAAGCAGTTAAGCAAAGTTAAGATCATATAATTTAAGGTACTTATACAAGAGTCAAAAACTAAGTCTAACCGTCACAACTAAATCTCTCACTATTCTCAAGGAATAGCAAAGTCAAGAGATATTGCTTCAATTCAAATCATAGCACATGATTTCCTATTCCTAAAAAAAATTAAAAACAAACTTCATCCGGTTCAAACAAAACCCTTGAAAAAGAATCGCGGTACAAAGAAAAACCAAGGGGGAATTATTACACTACCTACAAAAGAAATTCTTTTTGTTCTTTTCCTTCGACTTTAATCCCTCAAGAAACCTGTCGATGTCACACCTCCTTTTTCCCGTAAGGACATAAGGGAGTTTTTTCAATTAAAGTGACAATAATCAAAATGGGATTATTTTATTTATTCAGAGTCGCCACTTGGGATTATTATATGGTGTCCCAAGTCACCGATTTATTTTTAAATCCCAAATCAAGGAAATTTGACTTCGTTTAAAGTCTGCGAAACCAGAAGACCGGGTAAGGAATTCTGTTAACCCGGGAGAAGGTGTTAGGCATTACTGGATTCCGTGGTTTTAGCACGCTTTAATCATACCTAGCTTAATTAAATTGTTTAATTATGTGTTTTAGAACCTATGCGCGCTTTTCAATTTACCGCTTTTAATTAAGAAATTATCCTGAAACGAGTCACGCGTACATGTACTCATTTCGTTCGGCGCGTCAAGAATCATGTCACGCGTACGTGTACACAATTAATCACGCTTTATTATTATTAAGAATGTTTGGCTGAGGTTGCGCAAACGCATACCTCGATTTATTTTAAAAATCATAATTATGTCACGCGAACGTGTACACAATCACAATAATAGATTAAGTCCGCCTAAAGCAAGCTACGATGTTCATTAATTATTTTTCCTAAAGCTAATTTGAGATTATCGCGAAGGGACTAGTTTTTTAAAAGATATATTCATGCCTAGAAGCACATAAAAAACGTTAGCCAACTAAAGTTACTAGAGTCCAAAATCATTTTCTAATTTAACCCAAAAGCCAACAGATTCTCTTTTCACCTTAGCCTACCCCAACAGATTTTCTTTCACCTTAGTTACCAAATCATCCCAGCAATTTTATGCATAATCAAATGGAACATTAAACCAATGTAAAACCAAAAGCTAACATGGAAAACAAAATATTTCTCTTTTGAAATTCAAGTATCAAAGAAAAGAGCTTAACAACTGAGCACAGAGAAAGATTTTAGCACATTTATCATCATCAAATCCTTCACAATAAATGTACAAAAAAAACTTTGAAGAGCAGCAAAAGATGGACCTTTCAAGATGCTTTACACGGCAAAAGCTGAACGGGAACCTTGACCAAAATCAACGAACAGAACACGAACTCAACCTCGACGACTCAACTTTGAAGCTGCTATTTTGTGTACAAAAGGGGACTGTTTGTGCCACTAATTTTAATGGAGTTTATGGCTGGATCTTGCTGGAGTTTAGAGGCGATTCATGGTTGAATTTGGGGCTGGTTTTGAGGCATTTTGGAGTCGGTTTTGGTGGTGGAACTTGGCGGAAGAGAGCAGAGGTTCGCTGCTGATTTTTGGTGTTTTCAGGTGAGTTTGAAGAGCTTTGAGAGCTGGTTTCAATGGAGAAAAAGCTACTGAAGCTTGGTGAAGTTTGTGGGTTATTTGGATCTGAAGTTTTTGGGTCACTTTTAATGGTGTTTTGGGTGAACTTTCAGCTAGTTTCCATGGAGAAAGCTGTTGGTTTTTTATTGTTTTTAGTTGGAGAAGAAAGCTTTATAAGCTGCTATGGAGCTTAAAAGAAAGGAAGAGGAGAAAAAAAAAAAAACCAATTGAAGGGAGCATCATCCGTTTTTGGTGGCATGCTGCGCAACTTTTCTTTTTTGGGTCATAGCTCCTAGGGTTCTTCCTCCTCTTAGATCTCCCTCTGTGTATGAAAGAAGATATATTTATACACTCCATATAATGTGTGTGCTTGGCCACCAAGAAAAGGTTTTTGGGTCGGGTCATGTACGCGTGAGACCCATCTAAGTATAAGGATGATGGAAAAATTGGACGGGTGAGGGAATCCTATGCATGTATATGGAGTGAATGAGAGGATATTTCATGGAAGGGGTATATGCGGATCAGAATACCAAAAATATGGGACAAAAAGAATAAATATAGGCAAGGAATATTCCTATTCTAGTAACTGCATATGTGTACGAAAAGGATAAGAAACCTTTTGCCCATGTGAATTTTTTTACGCAAGTCTGCCCATATTTTATGATATGCATGCATGTGCACATATGGTTTGTTTTCTTTTCAATTTTTGTTAAAATGCAAGAAAAATTCATAACGGAAGAGAAGACTAACAAGCTAACACAAAGATCTCAACTTACAAGAAAAACTAAACAGGAGAGTGTTGATTAATCCTACTACAAAATAAGGAAAAGCCGAGATAAAAATTAATCCTATTTTAAGATTCTAATGAAAACGGGACTATTTTTGTGGTTTTCTTTTAAAAGATACACAACTACAAAATAAACTACTACTCCTATCAAGTAAAAGTGGCGAGGCGAAATACTAATTAAATGAAAATACTAGTTTATCAAGATTAGGAGAAAAGATATATTTTGTTCATTTTCTTTTCTTTGCAAGAATAACAAAATTTAACTCTTGTAAATCTTTTTGTTGGTTTTTAATTTTATCAAATAAACCTACCAAAACGTGAAATAAAGGCTAAAATTCAAATGTAGTCATACTAAATTCAAAGGCTAAAATTTGCATACTAAAAAGTAATGAAAAATTTAAATGTAGTCAAAAATTAGGTGCTCACAGTCGATATGATATTTATCGTCGGGAAAAATCGAAAATTTTAATTTTTTTATGTTTTTTCAATTTTTTCTCCATCTCTACTACTACAACTAACAAAAGCAAAAACTAAATCTAATATACATACAAACATACAACATATCCCCCACCCCACACTTTAAGTTGTGGCATGTCCCCATGACACACAATTAAAAAGCATAAGGTAGAGGAAACTTTCCTAAATCTCTAGCCGGGGTCTGAATCAAAGTCGGGCTCCATTCTTTTTGCCCTAACTAGTGTGCGCATCCATGCAGACAGCTTCTTTTCAGCCTTCTTGGGGTAACACTTGTCTTTTTCACTTAATGCAGCCTTCTCTTCCACGCCCTTCGCTTTCCACTCAACACTTGCAGCTGGCTTCTCCTTTTTCACCCCTGTTTCTAAATCCATCTTGAAAATCACCATCTCCTCACCCACTCTATGCATGAGCTTCCTTTCGTGTATATCTAAAATTGGTCTACCAGTTGCTAAGAATGGTCTTCCTAAGATTAGGGGTATCTCCTTGTTCTCCTCCATCTTCACCACTATGAAATCTATAGGAAATACGAACTTATCCACCCGAACTAAGACATCTTCCACTATCCCCTCGGGTATTATGGTTGTTTGGTCTGCTAGCTGCAAAGATATTGGTGCAGACCTTATCTCTCCAATCTCACTCTCCAGTTTCCTGTAAATAGACAAAGGCATTAGGTTAATTGAGGTACCGGAATCACATAAAGGTTTATCAAAGTTAAAAGTGCCTAACGAGCAAGGTATCATAAAACTCCCGGATCTCCACACTTTTGTAGGAGTTTGTTTTGCAAGATTGCACTGTAATGCTCTGTGAGCCTGACCACTAATGTCTCTTCTATCTTCCTCTTCTTTGTCAGGATCTCCTTCAAGAACTTGGCATAAACTGGAATTTGTGAGAGCACTTCGGTGAATGGTAAATTTACATTAACCTGTCTCAACATATCTAGAAATCTCTCAAATTGCTTGCCCAGATTTTCTCTATATAACTTTTGGGAAAAAGGTAGAGCAAGCATATGTTCGCTCAAATCATGTTCCTCCCATCTCGAAGTTTCCTCCTTCTTGTTTTTGTTAGCTCCCTTCTTGCCTTTCTTCTTCTTTTCAACATCAATTTTCAGCTTCTCCCCACATTCTTTTTCAGGTACAACCTCTTTCTAGGTTGAAGTGGGATCTTTCAAAACTTTCCCGCTTTTCAAGGTTACAACATTTACTGTTTCTTTAGGGTTTCTTTTAGTATCAGCCGGGAGAGTTCCTGGAATTTTATCAGACAATATAGTTGCAATTTGTCCCACCTGCTTCTCCAAGCTCTACAAACCTGTGCTAAGTCCTTTGATAGCTACACCATGAGCATCTAGACTCTCATCTGTCTTGACAATGAAAGACTTCATTAGATTTTCTAACCCAGACTGAATTGGCTGTTGAGGCTGAAACTGCAGCCTCGGCTGATTTACAAAACCAGGAGCTCCTTGTCCTTGAAATCTGGGGTTGATTTGTTGCCATGCATTTGTAGTACCCCCAGGTGAACTCCATGAGAAACCAGGGTGCTTCTGACCCATTGCATTGAAGTTATAATTTCCCACGGCATTAACTTCCTCAATTGAGGCTTGACACTCATGAGTAGGGTATCTTCTTCCACATATATCACAAGCTACGTGAGGCTTATTTTGTATTGAGGCTAAGGTCAGCTTCCTTATTTCTTTGGCCATGGAATCAAGCTGTACCTACATAGATGTGTTAGCATCAACTTGGCAAACACCAGTTGATCTTGTTCTTTCAGCAATCTCAAAGGGCCATCGATTTGCATCTTCAGATAACTCGTCTAGAATTGTGACTATCTCCTCTGGAGTCTTTTTCATCAACGGGCCTCCAGCTGCATTGCTCAATGTTCTGCCTACGTGAGGCCGATGTCAATCCACCCCAAAAGTCCTGGAGTTGCATCCAGAGTTCAATTCCACTATGTTGACACTTTCGAACTATCTGCCATGCTTCAAACACAGTTTCAGTCTCCTTCTATCAGAAGTTATGGATTTCTCTTCTACTTGCCCATTTTAGCTGAGCAGAAGTATTTATCAAGAAATTTTCTGGTCATCTCATCCCATGTTCTAATCGATCCATTAGGCAAACTTCGAAGCCAATGCTTTGCATCATCTTTGATTATGAAGGGGAATGCCCTTAAGTAAATGACATCTTGTGACACACCATTGTATTGAAAGGTATTCATAATCTCTTCGAAGTCCATTAGATGGTTGTTTGGATCTTCGTTTTGCTTTCCTCTGAAGACACAGTAGTTTTGAAGAGTTTGAAGCATCCCTTGCTTCAACTCCAAATTGTTAGCTGCAACTGGAGGTGGTCTCACACTTGATAAGCCTTGGTTGTAAACCGGTCTAGCATAATCGCCAAGTGATCTCCCAGCACCGGGAGCTATGCTTCTTAACTGGTCTGCACCCAAGGTTTGATTGTGAGCAATTCTCCGAGCCCTCTCCTCTTCATATATAATTTGAGCATCTCTAAGAGCTGCTTCTTCAGCATCCCGCGTAACTTTTTCTCTTTGCTGGGTTGCCTCTCTTGCAGCCAAATCAACATTATCATCATCTCCAGCCATAGTGTCTTTGGTTGAGGATTTCCCAACCTTCTCTATATTCTTTGGGAGATTTCTTTCCTTCCTCAACTATCGTAGTTGTTTCTCGATTTCTGTTTGTATGGTAGCACTTCCTTCCCAGAAGATTGAGTCATGCACCAATCTAACCTGTAGCCTGCACACAGCCAAAGAACACCAACCATAAAAAGAGAAAAACAAAAGAAAAAGAAAAATTTCTAAATTAGCACTACAAACTATTTTAAATACTATTGATTGCCAATACCCGGCAACGACGCCGAAATTTGACGAGCGCAAAACACACACTTAAGTAAGCTCTCTAGTCGAATACAGTAAAATATAATATCGTATTGATAGGGATTGGAGTTAAACAATATTATCGTAGTTCGTAGTTAGATTGGTGTCCAAGACGATCAACAATTGAGATTTCTGTGATTAAAACTAAATTTTAACTAAGAGTCTAAACTATTGGCTTATGACAATCAACGCAAGCAATGAGCAAAGATGGTTATCAATTGGGAGAAGATAGGGTTTTGATAGGATAGATGCAAGATAATTATTTGGGATCTAACTCTAGATACTCCACTTCTAATGTTCAAGTGAGTCTCTCGAATTTACTCAATTATTAGTTCAACCGTTTGGTAGAAACTCCTCTCTAGATTAAGCCTCAACCTTACAAGATGAACTAAGCTAAGCTCGGTGAAGATATGCAAGAATTCACAGTGGATTGGTCTTTAGGAGAACCTCTCCCGATTATCCTCCTAGCTAGGTTTAATCAAAAATTCAACTAGACTCTTTTGATTACTAAGAAGAATTAATGAATTCAACCAACAAAATAGAATGCAAAGATATTACAAGTTACGCCTCTCTCAATTACATGAACAAGTGAATATAGATGCAACGATTAAAACATCCAAAACGATTCGATACATAAAACTAGAGTAACTATCCACAAACAAATATCAATACACCAAATCCATCAAATCCTAAAGAGAACTACTCCAAAGATATGGAATAATTCATCACAAATATGATTAAGTTAAAGGAAAACATAAAATGATCCAAACTCTTGTCTTGAGTGAGGATTGAATGATGAAATCCTTGTGCTTTTGCTTCTTTACCTCCTCCTTAGCTTCCTTAGGTCTAAGATGTGTCCTAAGTCCCAAAAACACCATTTTACACGTATTTATACCAAGTAGGGTTGGGTCCAAACGAAACCACCTTCTTCTAGCCGAAATAGGATTGTGACTTTGTAAAAAATACACAGGCGCTCTGCATGGGGAGACACGCCATACGGGGTGCTTGTGGAGTTTATCAGGGATCTTGTAATTTGACTGGTAGGAGAAATTGGGCAGCCGCGGTGCGCCACGCGCCGCCCCACGTGCCGCGGCTGTGGACTTTTCTCAAAGTCTGCCTTTTTGCTTGATTTTTGAAGTCCAGACGTGGTTCTCGACCCCCAAACGCGATCCCGGCTTGATCCCTTTGGCTTTTACTCAGACTTCAAAGCTCCAAATAGCTCAAATTAGCTCCATAACATCTACATCACTTGGAATGACTCCTACAAGGCATAAAACACACAATTGGTGCAAAACACTAGCGATTAAAGCTCAAACTCAATTAAAGTGTAGTAAATCGATTATTCCGAATAGGCTTTGTGACAAAGGATATATGTTCAATATGTGTTCCAAACGTTCTTGTTATGTTGTGTTACTATTGAGAATGAGTTCAAAGTATGGATTGCATATCTCAATGTTATAACTTCAAGTTGTATTTCACATGAAAGCTATTATGCCAACTTGTGTAGATATTGTGATTGTGATTACACCTCTACCCGCATACATTGGGGTGAGGCGGCAGGGCCGCTTTGTGTATAGTTGTGGTACTGTGGTTACGCCTCCACCCGCATACATTGGGGGTGAGGCGGCAGGGTCTCTTTGTGTATAGTTGTGGTATTGTGGTTACACCTCCACCCGCATACATTAGGGTGAGGCGGCAGGACCGCTTTGTGTAGAGTTTGTGGCATGGTGATTACACCCCACCCGCATGCATAGGGGTGAGGCAGCGGGGGCTGCTTTGCGTAAAGGTGGTTACAAAGGATCCTTGTTTTAGAATTATAAAGGTTATTGAAAGCTCTTAAAAAAATTGCTATGGCTTTAACGGCTATCTAAGCCCTTTTATTATTACCATAATTCATCATAATTTATGTTTTATTTCCAAGTCCTTGAATAGGTGTTTGATTTTCATGCTAGTACTATTCGACATGTACTAACGTCCCTTTTGCTGGGGTGCTGCATCTTTAATGGATGCAGGTGGTTCCACAACAGAAGGTATTGACCAGTGATAGCGGTACACTCTCTTACTAGTTGACTTGGTGAGGCCCACTTCATTTCGGGGTCGTGCATCATTTGTTCCGCGTGTATTATGTTTTGAGGTATAGTGAGAGCCTTGTTGCCGGCACTATGATTGTACGCTTTTGTATCTATTAGAGGCTCCATGGACACAGTGTGGGTTGTATATATGGGTGTTGGGAAAGTCAAACTACTCTTGTTGTATTAGGACCACTTGTTTCACTTCAAACTATGAAAGTGTTTATATTTTGAGACTTTATAAATGAGGTAACTAATGGTGATGGAAAATAGGTATTGTTTATAAATCCTCTTGGCGTTAATTAATGAAATTATCTTCTCTTCGTTTATGGGTGAGCTGGGTAGAAGGAAATCTAGCAGGCTTGCTTGTCCAAGTTATCTCGGTTGAGCGTCGGTCGCGTCCCTCGGGGTCGAGGCGTGACAAATATCAGAAGGAGAAACACCATGGAAGCAACAAGTAACAATAAACTATATCCAAATGCCAAGTTAAAACATAGAAACTTTCAAAATACGAAAAGAATATATATTTTTGGTTGGGAGATCATAAGCACCGATATACCACCGTGTTTTTAGCATGGAGTCCGATCCTGCCCTATCAGCTAGGCCATCTCCCCACGGACAATGTGGTTTGACATGTGATGCGAAAAAAGGTGTTACCAAGAGTAGCACCACCATATGCGCAACATGGCATCCGATCTCCACCCAATAGGCTAGGCCGCCTTCCCACATATGCCGTGTAGGTTGACTTTCCAATTCACAGCTAATATAAATATCATCCCAAATAAAGGGAATAATCACAATCCACCACAATCCACCCCTACACCAGCACATGTAGTTACGAGTGTAGGCCTTATAACCCACCCTTCCACGATTTGCTAATGATACTGCCAAAAATAGTTTTTTGTTTTTGCACACAAAGGTAACATAAATACAAATGTATTCACGTCATCATCTTCCACATTGTATAAATCTTCATCAGTATTCTCAATCACTCACAACAACAATATTTCCTTGGTTCTTTTGGCCATTCACAAGATTCTTTATTCATTGCACGGTGGCCGAATTTCATATTCCTAACTTTCTCCTCTTTACTTTCAAGGATCACCATCAAACATCAACATATAGAATATTCTGGAAATCACAACTTTAAGTTCATTAGTAATGAAGACTTTAAACACATTAGATCCACTTTCAAAGAATGGAGCACAATGACTTATAATCACAACTCAAATTAATAATCATAAGCGAGTAATACACCATACTCCTTTTAAATACTTCTTCACTAAAGGGCAATACACAATTTTAGCTCTTGAGTACGTATGAACTCAAATCACATTGGAAATATTTATAAAACAGGGCATGGTGATTCACGATTTAAACACGACTTCAAATCAAATGCACTAGCTACAACAACCATGGCCTCGTTTTATATCTCACTTTAGTTCTTCCAATTTCAAGCATATTTATAGGTCATCAATAGTAAGAGCATTTGGGACCAAGGCTTTAAGAATGAATATGAACAATAGGAGTCTTAGGCGCATTGAGATTTCTCTCACAATTGGGCATAACAACTTGCGATTTAAACATGATTTGA